ACCCAATCCCCCACACCCGATCCTTGCTCGCTGCTTCAACCAACATCTTCTCGCCTGTGTTCAGCAACTTCGCCTTCAACTTGGAATTCTGCCCAAACTTGGCCATATTCCCCGCAACGACCACGTCGCTCTTCACCTCGTCCCATGAAGCATCGTAGAACCCAGTGATCGTCTTGCCGATGCTCTTCTGCGCCTTTGGATCAGTCGTAGCCATGATCTTCCGCTGGGCGGCAATGTCGTGAAAGCGTGCTGCTTTGCAGTACATCATGAACTGCTCGGCGCAGGTGAAGGTAATAAGCTCGTCATCAGCGGGCTGTGGATCTGTTGAGGTGGTTGGTTCGTCGTCGGAATATGAGACCAGAGAGGCGATGGTGGATTTGGAGACGGAAAAGGTGGAGGGGTACCATTGGCAGAGTTCGCCGCGTTCTGCGTCGGGCATGTAAAAGAAGATTATGTTCTCGTCGTGCGGCGGGGCTTGTTTCTTGTGTTTGAGAGGCATGCTGTTGGCGGCGAGTGAAAACGATACTTCGCTGGTTGCTCTTCTGTGTGAATGTTGATTGGTGATTGCGGTGTTGCAGGGATGGGCTGTAAACTTGGAACGCACGATCAGGCAGGCGATTCGTGTTCAAGCATGCGTCATGGTCAAAGTTCCCATTGACTCATCCGGTGAGGGCAATTAGAGTTTCGGCGTTGGGGGGTACCTGCCTCGAGAGGCCGGCGCTTCCTCCACCTCAAACCCAACCTTGAACGGACTTCAACCCTCCATCGATGCCGGGACGCATTTCGCTCCCAACCCCTCACAGCTGCGAAGGCAAGTAATTGGCCAGTAACTTTCAAATTCGCGCCGAAATCGGCCATGTCTCCCCATCAAACGAACACCTCCCGTTTACAAAAATATGCACCTTCACAAGCCCCCTGTCTCCATCGCCTCACCCACCTTCCGCGGGGTACATTGAATGCACAATGGGTATCCTGGGGGGCTTACCTGATGGGGCGAACAACCGGGCATGGCTCGGCCACAGTAATAACAAAGTCCGAGCATCAGTATCTACGGCGACGACGTGAATATAGGACTTGTGCTTTCCATGGGTGGCAAGTTTTCTTATACTACGTCCGGCTAAGCTTCCTGTGGAAGGGGAACATTCGCCGTCTGCAACTCAACCGTTCCCATGTGAAGTCGAAATGACGATGAGAAGCTGTCTGCGTTGTTTTGGGTTCCGGAGACATATGAGAGAGGAGAATGGGGGTTACATGTGCCCGATGTTCCTTGCGTCCCGGTCACCTTGATACCGGAGTGCGATGTTGCACCCAAGGCAGGAGATGCACCAGAGTAGAGTATTTTCTGGCAAGGGATTGGCTTGAGAGATTGATGGAGGTTCGCTGTTACCTGTCGTTGATCTAGACGGCTTACACCGGCGTGTGACACGTGACCTACACAGGGGCTAAGCACCTGTTGCGCGCCTTGCACATCCTCTAAGCTCCGGTCGCCAGAGGAAGGTGTCAATTGCTTCAACTCCAGCGGAAGGGGCAGAAAACGGACACCAAGATTACTGGGTAGTGGAAAACGGCTCCCAGCGCCCCAGAGTGGGACTACAAAGCCAGCTTTAACCCCACAAAGCAATCTATCCCCCCGTTTCTCCCTACGTTTCTCAAGCTTTATGTAAGGGTTACCGTTCCACGCATCACAGCTGTCACCTTCTCCATTCTCATGCAACACTCCCCGACTCACGAGAATCTCGGAGGTTCTTACTCACTTTCTGTCCCACTCAAACGCATACACCATGGCAGCCTAGCATGTCGAGACGATGGCGGCGTATGCAGCCAGAGTGCTTGACACAGCCAAGGAGAATGGGCTCACTGAACGAGAAACACTCAATGCCCATGTCGTCCACAAAAACCTAAGAGGAAGAGGCAAAGAGGCGTACTTCCGAGTGATGCACGTGGCTCATGCAGATAGATCCTGCGACTCTCATGGAGCTGGCGAGGGTAAAATCATGCCATCCGTTGACTGATACCATCCACAACGCCTTCATCACGCCACATCGCGAGGCCTGCCGTAGATTTGGCTGTGGTTTGGCGGAGTTGCGAGGTTGCTTAGCGAGGTGTGTCAATGTTGCGCGGCTGTGGAAGGCTGGATAGCCTCGGTTTTGGAACAAGATCCGGCCTTCAGGAGCTAAAAGCCGGGGAGCGATCGATCCGAGATGTGGGCAATTGAGTTGAATTGAACGTGTTTGTTGGTATATGACAGGTGACGTGACGTGATGTGAGGAAGCGGTGCATCACCCACCGAGTAGGTAGACCCTAACCCTCTGTGTTCTTGGTTGGCGAGACAACTGCCAGCGGGCACAGACCAACCGACCAATACTGCGGCGCAAGCTAGATTGGCAAATTCGTCGGTCGGCTCCTGCCTGTTTCATTCAATTCATGATCACGACAAAACATATAAGATGCAACTGCGTCCCGCTGCAAATGAGCCCGGATCTCAGCCGAACTACAGCCGTGCGACGGCGCAGCGGCCACGCATGGCCAACTTCCTCCACCCTGGCTACCCCGGACGCACAGTGCTTCTCTCGCTGCCCGCACTCGACGACGGCGGCATCGATTTCGATACGGCGCTGGCGGCCTGCGGCCTCATTGCCGGCAACCGGTGGAGCGATGGCTTCTTCTCATCGGACCGTAGCGGCGCTGTGAGCGTGGAACGCCCGGATGACGGCATCCTGCGCGAGCCGCAGTACTTCTTTCAACTTCCCGGCCCGCTTGACCTTCCATACCCCACTGTGCCGCGTTTCTCTCACTGGCGCTTCCCACATAGCAATTTGCCACCCTTGTGGCAAAGATGGGCGGCGAATGCGGCGGCAACACGCATAGGAGGAGAGGCGGCGAGGCGCTGCGTGCTCTCCAACTACGACGACGGCCTAGAGATGGCGCACCTGTTCCCGGCCGGCGAGGACGACTGGTGGCTTTCGAACCAGATGCAACAGTACTCGCCCACGCAGCTGTTCTCAAGCGACCCGATTGACGGACCAGCGAACCTCCTAACATTACGGGCGGATCTCCATCGCGTCTTTGACGAGAGGCATTTTTGTCTTGTTCCCAAGGTCGGGGAAACGAGTGGGGGAGACGGCAAGGAGACGGACACAGGGCGTGACGGAGCCGCAGCAGAGCAGAAGCCGCCGCAGCTCGTTCTACACGTCTTCAACTCAACGCCTAGCGGACAGCTCCCGACCCTCTGGCACAACCGCGCCGTTCACCCCATCCCCGCGACGGTGGCGGTAGAGTGTCTCTTCGCGCGTTTTGCCTGGACTATCTTAAGCCCTCGTGTCTTTGATATGTTCCTCCCTTCGACTCCTGTGCCGAGGCACCTACTCATTTGGAGCCGCGAGAAGGGGGAATGGGAGACCGAAGAGGCTAGTCCCGAGATGTGCAGGAAAATGTGGAAGAATGCTAGGTCGCGTTCTCCTAGGAAGAGAAGCGCACCGGGGTCTGCCGATGCTGTCGACGAACTGCTGGCAGATGAGTGCCCCAGTCTGTTTGACAGTGGCTACCTTGGGACCGATAGCTCTGAGAACGGTGGCTGTGATTATGACGAGCTCGGTCCTGCTAAGCGACAAGAGGAGCCTCGGGGGCGGTTACGGAAGCGGAGGCTCAGCTTGGAGGAGGAGCAATACTGCAAGGACTCTGGCCGGTCTCGACTGAGGAGGAAGATGCTCCTTTCGGTCTCGAGATAGCCAGGATGCTCCCTGCTCCTGTCCCTGCCCTTACCTTTCTTGGTGGTGGAAAACCGTGCCAAAATCCCAGTCTTTCTTGTCCGGTCGGCGACGCACCGTTGTCCACGAGAATGGCAACGCAGGCGGTTCGTCAACGTCGCCGTCGGCGCCGAATTTGAGGGAGGCTATTCGAGGCAAGAGGAGGTTGCGCATGAGGGCGGCAATGTAGGTAAGCTCCACCGCCGCCTGATCCTCGGCGACGTCCCACACCTCGCGGACGTACGTACCTCGTTTCCGCCTCGCGTTAGCCAGGCCGGTTAGTCAAGTTGCAGCGATAGGTGTGCGCGTTGCGCCTGCCTGGTGGCGGAAACAAAGGTGTGTACAGAGGGTGAAGCCTAAGACGAAGCGACGGGTGTCCTGAGTGGCGAGCACTTCCCTAGCGTACCTGCCGAGACCAACCCGTGCTTCCGAAGGTCTATCGACAGATAGGTTGCTCTTCAGCTCGCCGGCACGAGGATCTGGTGTTGGGAAGAAGAGGGGGAAGGGGGAAAGGGGAAGAGAGGTTGCCATCCAACCATCATGACAAATCTCGAGCATCGCTCATCTTTGGCATGAGGGGCGGTTGTTTGCGCAAAAATAGCGCAGCAGGTGGAGGGCGATTAAGCTGTGTCGAGCTGGGGGACTGACCAAATAATGTGAAGTGTGTGTGTGTTGTCAAAGGACAGCCGGTGGTTACCTCAATGACAAGACTGGGAGTGTAACCTCGGCTGCAGAGCGTCAGTTAATGAGGATGCCCGGCCCGAACTGGACGGGAACGTAAATGCCTTTTAGGTGTTGCCGGAATACTTGCCACATCTCGGCGCGTCCCCGAACATGTTGAGGGCTGAGTTATGCAACTTGGAGAAGAGAGACATCCAAGTCCATGAACAAGCCTACCGCAATACCACCGTGCTGATTCATATTCCAGACCCAAGGTTGAAAGGGCCATGAGAATTCGATGCTACGACATGGAGACCTTGAACTATGTTAATTGGATCGAATCTTCGTTTAGTCCTGAGGAGGAGTGGGCGAGTTGCACGCCATTATCAGCATTCCTTCGAGTGTAATTCTTCAGCAATGTCAAAGTGGATGCAATTGCTTGAAGAAAAACTTTTGCTCGGCTGCGTCCCCTGGCAAGGAACCCACCATCCCTCGCTCCAACCCTCTTTCCAACTCCACCTGTTCAAAGTCGCCCCACCCCACAACCCACACTTACTTGAGCAAATTCTTAGGACCGACTTCCATCAAAAATAATCGGGTATGGTGTAGCGGTAACATCGCTGACTCTCATCTTGCAAAGAAGACGATTCTCAGCAGCCCGGGGTTCGACTCCCCGTATCCGAGATTCCCTCCGCCTCTTTCCAACTACGGCCCGGGTCCACCTGGGCGGCATCTTCCGTAGTATAGTGGTCAGTATGTGAGCTTGTCATCTATGACTTCCCTCGAGACCCGGGTTCAATTCCCGGCGGGAGAGATCCTCGCGGGGAGGTGGGGGGTTCATTTTTGCTGTTTGCTTATTTCTCCTCCAATGGGATAATGCCGCAAAGAGAACTTCTTTTGCTTGGCTTTGTCTAAAACCGATTGTGCGCGCTTTCTGGCCTTGGTGTTGCCCGTGAGTCACTCATCCTTTGGACAGACCATTCTGGTCCTCTCGGACTGGTGGTTTTCATCCTGACCCGAGGGCTTTGGCCGCTATTTCCAGCGCACCGACGGGCCGGGTTGCCTCAGAGTAGGACCCGAGGACAACGGCCGTGTTAGGATGGCAGGTTAGCTCGTCATTTGCCACGCGGTGGCGATAGTGTCAAAACTGTGGACCTGGGTCTCTTTCGAATGATACTATGAGAGAACCCCGTCATGCCAGCGGGTGGGAGTCATGAGGCTCCATCACGCCAACCTTGGGATGAAAAGCCGAGTTTGGGCGTTAGAGCGAACACCGGCACAGCTGACGTCTTCTTGGTTTCAGCTTCAGGCTTTTTGAACCGATCTGCGTTATTTGTGAAGAGGCCGCTCATTTGCTCGTCATTAACGTCCTCAAGTGATCTGTTGCTGTCTCATCTTGGTCGTAGACGCATTCAACGCCGGGGGCATTGCAGTTTTGTTTGTGGAGTAACCGTGTGGCCAACCTGTATTTCAGCGCTCTTATCCTGCTGGGCCGTTCTTTTCCCGAACCCCATGGAGGATGTTCCAGTGATTCAAGCTATTGCCACATTTTGACTACAAAGAGTAAGTTATTGGTCTGCTGCTTGTCTTGCCCATAACATGGCAAATTCAAGGGCACACCTTTTCAGAAAGTCGCCAATCGCACACGCCGCCACCTGATATATCTTACCATGAGCCCAGCCGCCACTACGGCAGCGCCATAGTTCACCTCATCTTGTTTTTAGGCCAAGTATCTAGTTCCCCAGATTCACCGCGCGCCGTTTCACCTGAAGGTGGTAGAACCATTCGCCGGGGGCCTTTGCGCAGGTCGTGATCTGGTATCCACACCTCACAAGCTCTCCTTGATTCATCTAGCGGTTCTTTCAGTGGCTAGAGAGGCGAGGTTGTGGATATATAATGATCTCTCAAACCCGGCAGTTGTTTTCCTCTTTCCATAGCAAGCCTATCTCGTCATCTTTGTCAGCAGCCTTACCATTGACAATTCTCCCAACTGTCACAGCCGTGAATAACCCTTTCAACCTAGCGGTTCGAATCCGGTTTTTTATTCTTTCAGCCATTCTTCGGAGCCAACCAGTCCAATGGCTTCCAATATTTACCAAGATGACGTCCCTGTCGTTGCCGTAATCGGGGTAGGCTACGTCGGCACACACCTCGTCGAAGGCTTCTCGGGAGAGTACCGTGTTTTCGGCTTTGAGGTGTCTGCAGCCTGGGCCGCTCAGCTCCGTCAGGAAGAGAAGTTTAGAAGCAAGTCGAATGTCTCCTTCACGACGGACCTTAAGCCCGTCACCCATTTTCTCATCTCAGTCCCAACCCTCCTGCGCTCTGACAGGACTGTCGGTACATCGTACCTTGAGAGCGTACTTAACACCTACGCTCGTCCCGGTGCGACCATCGTCATCAAGTCATCTGTCGCAGTCGGGATGACGCGCGCACTTCTCTTGCCCATCTGCAAATCGCACAGCTTCTTGGGCTGAATGTCTCCCGAAGCAAGCTCCATCTCTTGCCATCTCCCTCCTCCTCATCCACCAAGTTACTGATCCAACCCAGCGCGTCGACCCAGGCCGCACCGGTCCCCCACTGACCACTGTCCCGGAGATCATCTCGGGCCTCGACTCTGCCTCCTTGACGTCCATCACCCGGCTCTACAGCCCCATCTTCCAAAGTCTCATCCCCGTCTCCCCCGAAGTTGCGGCGATGACGAAACTCTACGAGAACTGCTAGCGCATGATGAACATCGCCTTCGTCAACGAGATGGCCGACGCTTGTATCGCACACGGCATTGACCCATTCGAAGTCGCCAAAGCCGCTACCACGAAGCCGTTTGGCTACATGCCTTCCACTCCGTCGGCGAGTGTCGGTGGACATTGCACCCCGGTCAACCCATATTATTTGCTTTTCAATTCAAAGTTTCCGTTGCTAAAGCACGCGAGCGAGGCGATGGCGAAACGCCCTGCTGTTCTGGCGAGGAGGATTGTTGAGGAAATTGGTGGAAGGGGTTCTAGGAAGGATTGGTGGGTTGGATTTGGGGCGGACACAAAAAGGGACGGGTTGTTGTTGTTGGACTGGGATTCAAGCGCGGACAAGGCGTACTGAGCAACTCGCCTAGGCTTGAGCTTTGCAAGGAGTTGAAAAAGTTGGGAGTTGAGGTGCGGTGGGTTGACCCGTTCGTTGGGCGGGAATCTGTGGGAGATGTCGAGATGCTCGGGGAGGGACAGTGGACGAAGGAAGTGCTGGAGGAGTTTGATAAAGTGGTTGTCGTGGTTAAGTAGGAGGGTGTTGACTGGGCTGTTGTGGAGGGGTTGAAGACGGTTGAGTTTGGGTCTCGTTAGGGACCTTGATGCCTCGCCTTGTCTGGTTTAGGGTTTTGAGAGTTGGTTTTTGTGACATAGCGAGAGGCACCCCCGTTCTGTTTTCCCCAGACAAAAGCGTAGCGTTTCAGCGTAGCTAGATGATAGAAGCAACGCGGAGAATCAACTCCTTTCCTTTGCTAGAGGCCTGTTCGCGTCGCTGGAGCTGTCACAGGATGGCTGCGGAGGCAGGCTCTCACCTTGCGTCCTCGATATTAGCCCTCGCCATACAACATTTGCTGGCAGGGCGCAGGGTGGTTTGCAAGCGGACGAAAATGGCGATCACGATGACATTCGAAACCGTCTGATCAACGACTCCAGCTTGTTCCTAGTGCCAACTTGCGTCAGCAAGACACATACCTCATCCGCGTAATCCTGTAGGTCCGTTTTGCCGTCGTCGCCCCAGCCCAGATTGCCGCTACTCTGGAGGAGAGTGTTGATCGGGACGCGTCTCCCGTCCCTGGTATGACATTCCGCGCCCTTGATGCCGTTCTCGACGAGATACTTAACCGTCCGGAGCCGCTGGTCGACGGGAACGGGGGGGATCTTGGCGTCAGCTTTGGGCATGTAATACATAACACCAAGCACGGCGTTCTCCAGTAGGCCGAGGGAGGAGCGGGAGCCCTTATCACGGAGCAGAGCCTTTTGGGATTGTGTCTTAGCTCGGAGGTAGGGCAGGATGGAAAACTGCGCAGATAGACCAACAAAGCTGTTGATGAGCTGGCGGCCGTATCGCGCGCCGTGCATGACGCTGGGCTGTGACGTCGACCAGTGCGGATGGCGAGTCGGGTCAGCCGTAACTTGGTGCGGCTGGAACCACGCATTCCAACCAGACTTGAAGATGCGAGCCATCTCGGTGTCTAAGCCGTCCAACGCTTGCACAAGGGGTGTGACGTTACAGGGTCGGTCCTCGACCTGTGATGCGTACCACAGGAGCCGGCACACGGTGTTCCAAGCGGAACCGTGGCCACGGATCTGCACCCACCGGTGACATGCAAGAGATCGCACCTCGGCTTGGAGTAGGCACAGAGGCGCGTCGAAGTCATCGGGAGAGGCTGTGCATATCCGCTCCCAGACCTCAGGTCGCCGTGCCCAATCGTGGGCTGTTCGGTGGGAGAAGCCGACATGGCAGCGTTCTGGCTTGTAGGAGCTGATCTCAACAATACCTCGGGTTCGCGTGTCAAGTCTGCGCTTCAGAGACCGTAGGGCTGATGGGCCTGCGTCCTGGTTGACAGCAGCACTGTTGGAGAGCGAGCCTGACCTCCACTCGTCGGCTAGCCACATGACAAACCAGGGTAGGGAGCCGCGCGAAGCCATCACGATCTGCACCATGGCCGATGCGTCACGCAGATTGCGCGGGTTAATGCGCTCCCAGATGGCATTGTAGAGCAAGTGGATATCGCTGGGGAGCTGGTCGAGAATACTCTGCAGCGAGCTCAGGCTCTCGCCCTCCGACAGCGCAAGCAGCAGGGATCGCGTCACCAGAGCCACCCACAAGAAGACGCCGTTGGCCTTGATGGTTAGTGACTCGGCGATGCTGGACGCCTCGGCCGGGTAGATGGCCTTGAGCTCAGCAAACCCCTGGTTTGCGCTAAGTTTGCTGTTGACAAAGACAGCAATGTCAAGGTGTGTCAAAAGGTGCATCTCCATCGTGGGGCTATGTCGGAACGCGTCATTGAATTCGGTCCACGGCCGGCTCGCCACACAGACCTTGATGTGTTTGGCGGTGTTGGTGATGTTGTTGATCAGCTCCACGACGGCCACCGGTGCGACCTCAAACTCGTCGAGTCCGTCCACAAAGATGGCCAGCCGCATGTCTTGCTGCGAAAGACGCAAGAGACGGTGGAAGGACTCCTCGAGCTCCCACTCCTCCCAGGGTGGCGCGTGTGTTGGCAGGCGGAGAGAGCTGAACCAAGCCCATCGGCGAGGCACTACCTCCCGCACATGGCTTGGGTTGGACGCGAGCGCTTGGTACAGAATCGTACGTAAAAGGCCTTCCCGAGACTTCTGGAGGTCCGTTCCCGAGTTCCAGGCGTAATAGCTGGTGATGAGAACGGGCAATCCACCCGACCAAACCCTGAGGTGTTTGTCAAGTCGCGAACTCTGGAGGATATGCTTCATTGTCGTTGACTTGCCCGAGCCAGGCTTTCCTGTGATCCAATACGGCCTGTCCGAGGGCGTCTCCAGCCATTCGGGGAAGCTTGCCCACAGAGCGCGACCCTCATGCTGTGCCGGCGTCCCAAACACCCACTCGCAAGTGTTCTCAAACGAATCGAGGATGCCCTCGGATCGAATCTCCATGTCGGTGAAGTCGATACTCTTCAGGATAGACTTTTG